AAGTAATGCATAAAGAAACGTGAAAAATCCTAAATTAATGAGCATATGAAATAAGTTGTTTACAAACAAGATCCGAGATAAGTTCACGAGATCGGAAAGTGTATCTTACGGAAATGACACAAACAAGAAAATGCTATCGAAATAACTACAAGTGGCTTAAGCGACCTGTGCAAGTTTATAGAAGAACGTACAGGTAGACATTTAGATGAGAAAGAAAAGCATTAGGACAAAATTGAAGATCCACCACCAGAAATAAATAGACTTAACATGCAAGCACGCGGTTAGTAAATCGAATGCAGCGTGCCTGCAAACGCTGCGCCGCTTCTGCCTACCTTCTCTGCAGCACCCGTCGTCGCTTCAGTAGTGGTCCCGAGTGGCCTCGCTCATGGCTACCTAGGCCTGCCTGACTCAAGCATTCGCGACCGCATGTGCTACAGTACCATGTGCTCGATGTCGATGGAGTACAACCCATCGTTGCTTGCCGCTTCCGAACTAGCCGCTTCTTCTCTGCATCTATGAGGTCATTCTCCCGCACTTCGACAACTGCCTTCGTGATGAGATCGCGCCATGCACGCCGATCAACCGCCTTCGATTCCCACGACCTGAAATCCCGATTACAACTTGAGAGGCTCACTTTAATCATGTCCTGGAAACGTAACCTTGGTTTCCCCACATGCCGCTTCCCAATACTCAGCTGACCATATAAGAGTTGTTTTGGTATCCGCGTCGAATCCATAAGTGTCACATGACCGAGCCACCTCAGGTGTCTCAGCAAAAGCATGCAGTCTACTGCGTACACTCCACTTTGTCGCAACACTTCCGTGTCAGCAACTCTGTCGCCCCAGCCGATGCGCAAAATCCGTCGCAAACACTGCTGATGGAACCGCTCGAGATATTGCACATCCCTACGGTACATCGCCCACGTTTCACTGCCGTATAGAAGAACGGACAGCACCATGGATTTGTACACCATCAGCTTCGTGCCAATGGTAAGCTGATGGTTGTTCCACGCTGGGTACTCAAGTTGCCCGAATGCCGCCTCTGTTTTCGACACGCGGATATGAAGCTCACTGTGTATCTGCTGATCAGTCGACATCACACTCCCAAGGTAGCAGAAGCGGGAGGTGGTTTTCAATACTTCAGCACCAATGCTGATTCGTGGCAATATCGAAGATTGCACCTCCGGTGAAGGCTGAAAGAGACAGACAGTTTTGCTTGTGTTGATGGTGAGCCCGAATTTAGCCTCTGTCGAAGCCAGAGCACTAGTCATGTGCTGCAACTCATCCGCGCTGTGTGAAAACAACGCACAGTCGTCAGCAGACAGCAACATACGGATAGTTGTTTCACAGACTAGAGTTCTCGCACCGAAACGACGGATATTCAGCAACCCACCATCAACACGATGCTCCCCACGAACACCGTAAGCACAAGCGGCATCAAAAGCACAATACATCATTGCATGAAGATATATATTAAACAGGGTAGGAGCTAAGACACAGCCTTGCTTCACACCAGTGACAATTGCAAAGTCATCAGAGGTCACTCCACACAGCTGCACCCTCGCTCGCATACCACTGTGCAGACAGTCAATTAAACTTCCAAAATTACGCAGGCAACCAAACTTATCCAACACCAGCCACAAGACCTCGCGCTTCACCATATCAAATGCCTTGGTGAAATCAACAAAAAGCGAGTACAATGGCTAGTGTCGTTCTCTGCACTTATCATGCAACTGACGAGCCGCAAACACCATATCTATAGTGCTGCGACCCGAACGGAATCCGCATTGCTCTTCCGCCACGTTTGGTTCCACAACCTGACTGAAGAGGCGGTTGAGCAGGATTCGGGCAATCATCTTGCCCACGCAACTCAGCAAGTTGATGCCACGATAATTAGCGCAACATTGCTTGCTACCTTTGCTCTTGCAAATTGGTAGCACAACGGCATCCTTCAGCTCAGCAGGCACCTCCTCCTCAATCTATACACGTTGCACCAAGTGGTGCAGCGCAGTCAACAACGCGGGTCCGCCGTGTTTCAATACTTCAGGCAGGATCCCGTCGGCCCCAGAACACTTGTCATTTCGCAGCTGAGCAAGTGCTCTCTGCGTCTCATCCAGTCTCGGCGTATCCGCCAGATCCGCCTTCACATTGTGCTGCTTCAGGCCGTTCAGTGTAGGCCAGTCGATCTCTGAACGGTTGTTCAAGAGACAGTCGGTGTTTCAGCCAGATCTGCATTATGTCTGCAGTCTGTGTGCAGGCAGCGCCTGAACCACCATAGATAAGCGTCCTCAGCGGTTCCAATCTCGGTCCATCCACCACCATCAAGGAGTCAAAGAATTTTTTGTGTTGACGGTGTCCGGCGTAGCATTCCATCTGCTTCGCCTTCTCCGTCCACCATGCATTTTTAATGCGACAGAGCTCTCGGGTCAGTCGCCGTCGAAGTTTGCGAAACTGACTACTCTTCCCCAAGTCACTGGGGTCTGCCACATGTGCAGCGAATGCTGCATTCTTCTCTGACACCAATGCGCCAATCGTCGCATTATTCTCACCAAGCGAATCAGGCCGCTTACAGTTTGCGCGGCCGATGGTCTCCTCGGCAGCAGCTGTCACCTGGTCGCGAATGTGGTGCCACAGGTCGCCCACTGTGGCTATGCATTCCACATCACACAGGTGTATAGGCATCGCCTTCTCCAGCTCAGTACGTTTCGCCACGGTACCGAGGGAGAGAATGCTAAATTTACGCCAATTCACGACAGAAGTGTAATACATAGATTTACGAAAATATATGTACAGTTTGGTCCGCACCAATTTGTGATCAGTGCCACACTCAGCTCCACGCAGTACACGTGTCATGTACACTTCACGCATATCACGCTGACGTACGATGACATAGTTGAGGAGTTGAGCGTGACCACTCCGCGGGTGCGTCCAATTTGCTATATCACTCACACTCAGCGCAAATGGGGTGTTCGTGAACGTTTGGCCGTGAGTGGCACACAGTGAGAGCAGCCTGTCACCTTTCGCATTCGCTGAACCAATGCCATATGAACAGATAACTTCTGTCCACACCGATGCATCACGCCCAACGCGCGCGTTGAAATGACGCAGCAGAAATAGTCGGTCGCTCCTCGGCCCAGACCGTATCACGGAGGATAGCTGCATGTAGGATTGATCATGCGTGTCAACAGGATAACACATGCTCGGACTGTACGTGCTTATAAATGCGCGTCTGTATGCATATATACATATATATATATGCTAATTTGGATAGGAGCAGGCTAAAACAGGATTTTCACTGCTGCGCCCAAAATGGCCCCAATAACCGCTGCCGTGCCCTACCACACAACCCATTTTGGGTCCTTATAGTTTCTGTGAATTAGACGCTCTTTCTAATAGCAAATGTCCATCTTATACCTCTTTCGTTGTCAGTCACTATTTCTCACCGCTTGCTAGTGTACCCCGCGTATGCAGTGCTTATTTAGCAACGTTTCGTACCAGTGTTTTTTGAGAATTTAAACTTCAATCATACTTACCATAATCCATTGGATTATGCTTTTCCATACATTAATTCTGCTGAAGTATTAAGAATCCTCCTTCCTTTCCTCTAAACCACCATTTTTCCAAATTGTAGCATGCTGTGCTGCACGCCTAAAATTGGCTTATATCGTAGAGTGACTGGGTTCGATTTAGGTGGCTCAATGAAGCAAGGTCACACAAACTGGGTAGAGTCACATTCTCCAAAAGGGCTGGCCTCCAATGCTTCAGTCTATTGTTATGCGGCTATTTGCGTATATCTCAGGGTGTTGTCTTTAAAGAAAGTAGAAGTTACGACACCGTGTCTCACGTATACAAATAGACAAACGGTGAAAGCAAGTACTCAATGGCTGATGAGGAACAAAACTCACAGTTGGGCCGGGTTTTCTGTTAGGCACGGACGGAATCTTAGTCACAACCAGGACAAAATGAAAGCTAGTATTAGAGTTCTTTGATTGCCTAATCTCCATTGCTTCGGTAGTGACCAGTAGGCGTTTCCTGAGTACTTTGGGAACGCGTCTCGACACAGTGTATACCACCTTGAATCCGTCGTCTGTCAGAATCTGATGTCCAGTAGTAATCAGATGTTCGAGAATGGCGCTGTGGATATTCTTAACCGTGCCGAGTTATAGAGGCAAGACGCTTTTACACTTTCCTCTTAGACAGACGCCTCAGCTATATTACACCACGAGTGCAGGTTAATTGATATAACGCAAATGATTCGGAAGGAGCCGTGTTTCTGTCTTTGAGACTTTTGATCATGAGCGGAACGGTCTGGGCAATAATGCGTACTCTAGCAGCCGTGTATGTTTGGCTAATTGCGGTCGACATTCTTCTGTTCCGTAGCTCGTAGGGGATATCTCCTTTGAAAGGAACCGAAAGGAAAACGTCCTTTTTCTTTACAGTTGGTATTGCTTTACGGTGATCACAAAAGGCAGAATGTCTTTGGATAAAGGATGCGTGATACCCATTGACATAACTATCGATTGGCTTCAGTGACCATATTTAAAGTGCCATCTAAGTACTATTACTTGAGCTTGTTGGGTGGCGCCTAGCATACTAGCCGGTAATCAATGACACACAAGAGACGTGTCAAATACGGGACAGTATAGAAGTTGGCGGCGACTGAACCCAACGTGTAATGTGCAGGCTACAAAAATAGGAAGCGAATCAACCAGCGCGAGAAACGATGCAGCAAGATATTCGCCAAAGCAGTTTGTCAAAACAAAAGTGCCATCAGTAAAACAAGTGGACGTTTTGGAGGTTAAAACAACCGTAACATCCAATGTTACAAAATACTGTGTGTTTTCAGGTACACCACAAGCTCTAGTTAACTTCCCGTTTGCTTAATTTGCTTCATAAATGCAAGTGCCTGACGCGAATTATCGAAAAGTGATATCTCTCCGCAAGCCTCCTTCTTACGCTTTTACTCCCTCTTTCAGTTTTTTTTGAAATTACGTCATCTTGCACTCCAATCATTATTCCTTAATGGGACAACGAACACATGCCTTGGTCCCGACAAGATTCTTAGTTATTATGGCTCACCTCGTGCTGTGTGGGACCCTGTTGCTTGACAAAGTAACTGCGCTTAAAACACGCATTTCTCAGAAATCGGACATAATTGATCGCTCCTTACCCAAACGCTTCTCGGCGGATGATGCAAGAAGAGTCTATCACCAGTGAGTGTGAACGCATTCCTCAAAACTTTCTACAAGGTGCTTAACAGCTTTTATCCTGTCTGTCATCTTTCTGCTGCTCGAATTATTCGGCTTCCTCAGCGGGGCCACTATGTTCATGGGAACCTATAATCTGGTTTGTAAGTTCAATTAATTCCGGTTAACTTAACTACCCTAGCAGTTCTATTTCACTTTTCGGGCGTTGTCGCAACATCCTATTTTATCGTTGAACGCTGGAATATATTTTCCTACTGGTACATTTTTGTTGGGTCAATTTGCATTCCGTTCGTGCTAGAAATTGTAAATATTACAGTGCGGATATGGTTCCGGCATAGCCTTTGAATAAAGAGCCTATGCACAACAAGTAGTGTAACTTCCTTTCATTCTGCTTATATTTTAAATAACACTGTCCACGTCCATACGAAATTGTGTAACCCTTCACTGGCACTGAATGATTTTTGGTTAAGAAAATTGCACTCTTGATACACTCTAAATATCTACTCTATCATCAACCTTAGAAGGTAAATGTAACTACACATTCTGGGATCGATATTAAAAGATAAATAGTGCACAGTGACTCATCGAAGGCACATTCGTGTTCGGGAATTGTACACATAAGCTCGCATCGAACCTTGCTGTTTCGATACTATAAAACCGTCCCACCCAGTTATATTTCATTAATGACTATTGTTAGGCCGCTTAATCCGTCGCGAACTATGGTCACCGTCGGACCAGGCTGCTAGGAAAGTAATCTAACCGAACAGTAACCTGTCAGTGAGCCATCTGCCCCAACCCTTCAGTCGCAATAATTTGACCCTAGATCGATGACGAATATTGACATTCCGTTATCGCTCCGTTGGATGAGACCATTCCTGGAATTCGCCGATTGAACAGGAAAAATCGGAAGGCGCAGGGGTGAGATAACGATTAGCACAATGACCAGATAAAGGGCGAAATAACTAGTGTGTACATGATATTTTCGGGCTCCATATGGGATTGTGTGTTTGCTGGCGTTTTCCAAACGTCAAATGATCAAAATCGATATAAATATCAGCAATGGTAGCTAACGCCACGATATGTAAACTACGCGCACAATCACTAAGTGAAACGGTTTGGGCCCACATCCCTACAATGACTATCACTTAGAGGTGGTGTGTCAGCCATTGGTGATGATACCGTAACAGAAGTGACCTGCGAAGGACGGTAGTAATTTCAATGCAGTATACCACACAGATCATATTGGGTGCATTCCATTTTAGTGCCGTATTGGCCCCGGCCAGACGGAGTGAATACCTCCGTAAGACGTTTCGACGATATACCGTGCCAACAGGGTAAACGGGCTTCACTCGGGTTGCGCGAAAAGCCGACCAACTATGAAAAACTGCTGCGATGTGAGTGGCTGGCAAACAAGTATATGCGTCGACAGAGAACGAGGGCCATGTCGGCGCGAACAAACGGCCAAATATAGCAAATCAGCCTCCTGAAACGCTTTCAAATTGGTGGAGTCAGCGCTTAGTTCAGTCCTACTCTTGAACCACTTTGACCTAAATTTGGAGATTTTGTCACTTCCTAGTACGCGGGGTAGGTGTTCCCCTTTTCCATGTGTTCCCAGGAAGGGAAGAAAAGGCCTTTGCGCATGCAGCAAGGTCTCTGATGGAAGCGACGAAAAATTACGGTCAGAATAAGAAGCAAGTTCTGGCGATCGTTCTCGTAACGGAACAGTTTCACAAGATGCTCTATGGTATACATTGCAAGCTACTCACCGATTACAAACTTCTACTCTGGATCTTCGGATCGAAGAAAAGCATCCTGTTTTCACGGCAATTCGGTTGCAGAAATGGACTATCCTGGTTCTGGCGTATGATTTCCATATACAGTACCGATCTAGACAGCAAATAGGTCAAGCGAATGCTTTATCTCTTCTCGTCAAGTTCCACTTGAGCAAGGACGATCATCGTTTGACCGCATCTGTCAAATAATTATGAGAAGTTCATCTAGCCCCGGTTGACTATACGAGAACTGCCAGTAACTTGTGACACAATTTGTGCAGAGTCTATTCAAGAATAAACCTTGCTGTAGACGATGCAGTTCGTGGTCACTGTGGACTGGCGGTAGAATCCTGACTATTGCGAACTTTCTTCAATTGAAGCGGATCCCTTTCGATCGTGGACAATCGGCTAATGTTCGGAGACCGAGTCGTTGTACCGAAGACGTTGAAGAAGCGAATCCTAAAGCAGTTCCATTCGGGACATTCTGGAACCAGCCGAATGAATGCGGTCGCCCTCTGCTTTGTTTATTGGCTTCAAATGGAGAAAGAAAATAAAGGGTTCTGCCAAGGGTGTTAATTCAGTAACCAGTAAGCCAAGGCCCTTCTCAAATGTCCGCGTTACTCGTAGCCTAAGTCAGAGAGGCCCTGGCAATGCGTTCGCTTAGGCTGTACGGGACCAATCAGAATGAAAGAAAGGCATCAGCAATACGCCGGTACGCAATACTGACGCCTCGCTTCCGGGCAACAACCACCGGTCGCTCGTGCACTAAAAATAGTGCGAGCATCGCCCTGCCCTTATACAGGCTCGATCCAGCGCAGTCAGATGACAAGACGAGCTCGTTGCCTTTAAGCTACGAGCCGGAAGGATCAGTCAACGTTCAGTCAAATGCCATCCTAGTAGATTCCTTCACCAAGTGGCCCGGCGTGATTACGGTGCTCAACCGCAATGCCCAGCACAACATCAATGTGCTAAACAATCTGTTCCACTATTTTGGCACACCAGCGATGCTGATTACATGCAACGAAGCACAGTATATCTCAGGGCTGTTTCAGGAATTTTGCACGCAAAACGAAGTTCTGCAAAAGTTCTCACCATCTTATCACCCACAAGCCAATGGGTACGCCGAACGGTTCGTAGACACCTTCAAAGCCGTTTTGCGCAAAGCGGTAGGAACAAGCGTGTCACGTGCTGTAGCTCAGCCCTTTTGATAATGTATCGAAACACCCAGAATCCAAGCACCCCGGGAGTAAAATCCCCCATGGAATGTCTCTGGAAGAAAAGTCCGAGCAGCATTCTACATATACATTCCCGGAAATGAAGATAAACATGGCGACGGACAAGCTAGGGCAGGCCAGGCCAGTAGGCTCCGCACGTTCAAGATTGGCAAGAGAATTTCAAGATCCTAAAACCTCCTTTATTGGAAAGTTATCGGTAGGATAAGCAAGGTTATTTACGACGATCTTTCGCAACCTTTTTCTACCAACTACGAATTTGCGAGGACCAGGAAAACGTAGTACCACTTTCGATGAATCACTAGGTTCCGTGTATTCATTTGGAGAAAAATTAACTATTATCACTACAATGGCAATGGTTATGATGTTGGTTTTAGACCGTTATATCTTATAACACAGTAAGAAATCGTGTAAAACATAGCCAGTTGCGCAAAGAAGCAAAGCGATTGAAACTTCATTTGCGCAATTAGTAACGAGAAAAATAGTAGTAACTTTGTTTGCATGCGAAGCGTATGATCACTTGTAAGGTGCGTTTACTCTCTTTTACTTTAATACTCTGTCTGAAACGCGAGCTTCCATTGCTCATCACATCCTGGTTCCTTGGAGAACGTGTACCACCAGACCATCTTACAAACACAAACAGTTTCTTTCGTTCCTCTTTATGCTTATCTTTGAAGAATACACCTTTTCGCTGTAACCCGCTTAGCGTCAAGTTCATCACGATCTTTCCTTACTTGACTCCAGGATTCTGTGACTGCTTTTTCTTAAAACACTTCCTGAAAATCCCATTGCTTGTCATCACTAGCAATGCCTCTTGCTTCTGGATGAATAGACATGCAATCATAATGTTTTCCATAGTAAATCGTGATGTATTCCAACACTTGTCAACATTGTTTCCTGCTCAAATGAATGGAACATTATTGACAAATTCCTAATGAGGATTCAGCAGCTGCTTGGAAACCACTTTCAGTATTTCCCTTGTTTCGATGACAGCGCTCATTCTGAGGGAATCGGTGACACTTCCAAGTTCTCATTGGCAACACGATTCATCTAGTATGCAGTGGACTGCATACTTTTGCTGAGACAACTGAGGTGGCTCGGTCATGTGGACCGTATGGATTCGACGCGGATACCGAAACAACTTTTATACGGTCAGCTGAGTATAGGGAAGCGGCACGTGGGGAAACCAAAGTTACGTTTCCAGGACATGATTAAAGTGAGGCTCTCACGTTCTAACCTTGATTGCAGATCATGGGAATCGAAGGCGGTTGATCGACGTGTATGGCGAGATCTAATCACGAAGGCAGTTGCCGAAGTGCGGGAGAATGATCTCATACATGCAGAGAAGAAGCGGCAAATACGGAAGCGGCAAGCAACGATGGGTTGTATTCCATCGACATATAGCGCATGGTGCTGTAGCACATGCGGTCGCGAGTGCCTTAGTCAGGCAGGCCTAGGTAGCCATGAGCGAGGCCACTCGGGGCCAGCACCGAAACGACGGCAGGTCCTGCAGAGAACGTAGGCAGAACCGGCGCAGCGTTTGTAGGCACGCTGCATTCCATTTACTAACCGCGTGCTTGCATGCTAAGTCTATTTATTTCTGGTGGTGGGTTTTCAATTTTGTCCTAATATTTTTCTTTCTCATATAGATGTCTACCTGTACGCTCTTCTATAAACTTGCACAGGTTGCTTAAGCCAATTGTACTTAATTTCGTTAACATTTTTGTGTTTGTGTCATTTCCGAAAAATGTACTTGCTGACCTCGTGAACTGATTTCGCATTCGTTTGTAGACAACTTATTTCATAGGCTCATTAATTTAAGATTTTTGTCACAGTTTCCTTATGCAGTACTCGATTTACTTCCTTTGTTATCTTTCTCTCAAGTGATTGGATATTGCTTGATAATGCCGATGTGGCTGCACTTGATGTGCATGTTGACAAGGGTGCCTACCTGTTTATTACCCACTACCTCGTCCATACTGGCTCTAGGAGACAGTTGGTCGTTGCTGGAGGGGACGGGGTGCACGGTCCTTGTGGCTATGGTTCCATGCACTCAGTGTGGAGCGGACTACGGTCCAGCCACCTACTTGTATGTGCGCTTGTTTCCCAAATACAACGTGCTTGTGTTTGCCTGTGAAGGAGTTTGGGCCGGCTCCGTTGATGAAACGTGGCTCCCATCCACATGCCTCCCGGTCTTATTCCTTCCGGTTTACACTGGATATGGGGTGTGTGGTTGGAGCTGTGGGTGGTGCAGCGCAAGCCGCTCATATTCCCCCTGTAGGCGCAGGCGTCCTGTGGCCGGCCACAGTGACAGGCAAATCCGAAACCGGATGCAGCCAACCATCCCTGCGACTGGTGAGGATGTCTAAGAATGACACAGTGCTTTTGTTCCACCTCTCAATTGACCCGCAAGTTGGCATGTGCACAGTTGAGTTGCTGCACCAACTGGGCAAGCTGCTGCTCCAACGTACAAAAGGCCAATGTGTCAT